TTAACATTAGGTTAGGATTAGGTTAAAGTTAGGTTAGGATTAAGTTAACATTAGGCTAGGATTAGGGTAAAGTTAGGTTGGGATTAGGTGGACCTCTTTTAGCCTTTGTGCAGTTCACTTGGTTATTTCTAGTTGTACCTGCTGTGACTACCTACTGGGTGTAACTGATAAGAACATTATTACACAACTACACTGTATTTAGTATTTGCTTTTAAAGCTCTGTACATTTCTTCCATGATTCATAGGACTGCATTATTTCCACCTAAACTTGGATTATAATTTTTCAAAACAACATTGTGTCTCATGTATGTGTTTAAATGACATTTTCTGGCAGAACAAAGATATTTATTTTACAAAAGTATGAAACAAATGAGCAGAAAATCCTGAATATTGAGAGCTGAAAAGTTTAGTGTTTGTTCCTTCTAAATAACAATAAATATCCAAAAAACTGTTGGAAGTCAATGCAATGTTCAGGAACTAACCTTTTACTTGACTGGTTTCTGTCCGACTTTCATCCTCTGCTGAGACTGCACATGCTCAATATGCATTGATACGATACAGCTTAGGTCAAACACGTCGTGTTCACTGTTGTAATAATCATATATTCTTCTGTCACTTTCAGGAACAGTTTGAAGACGTATGCATGGTGAATCATGACACCTGCAAGCTTGGTAAGCAATTGCCTGCGGGAGTGAAGTGCGTCAACCTAACAGGAGGGCTGTTTGATCGTAGCCAGCTGGTGTTCAGAGAGGTCGTGCAGAGATGTGCCCCCGGTCCAGTCGGTAAGTCTAAACTGGGAGGCTTTCTTCAAACACTTGCACAATGCTGAATGCTGCATCCAAAACATGCGACTGTCGAGCTTTCGTGGAAGCGTTGGTGGCAACGAGGCATTTAAAGTTTGTGCTTTTCACAGTCACATGCGTTTCTGAGCATGAGAGTGGGCGTGTTGTCTAAACACAGAAGCACCACTGTGCCATATCACTTAACTGTGACCATGATCTGATATTGCTTTGAGTACCAGTGAAGTAGAAAAAGTGTTGTGCAGGTGCAGACCAGTGACCTATTTACCATTTAACTGTAATATTTCCAACGAGAGCAGCAGGGTATGTGCTCCTATACAAAACAATACACATGACTAAACACACAGGGCCCACAGAGATTCACATCGTTTATTTTTCATTCAGTTTTATTTTTGTGTTCAATTTAGTTTCAGAGATCACAGGTTTTCTAACTTGTGTGGTAGTGATCACTGGTGTATTCACTTTGGATGCACTGGTTTTCTGTGTTGGGGCTTATCGAGAAGGCTGTGCAGAAGGGTGTTCTCACTTCTGTTGCATGCTGTTAACGACGCATACCTTCCTCTGTGGATCAGAAAAGCTTGCTAGCCATCTATAGCAGTATCCAAACTGTTTGGATCCCAATGCAGAGACATGGAGGATCCGGTTTTAATTTAATTGTCAGATGTGTAACGCAATTTCTTATTCAGTGCTTTGAAATAACAGATGAATTCTGTTTTTGTTTTCTTTATTGCAGTGTTCCATGTGGTCATGCTCGCCGTGATACTGTTGTTCGTCCTTGTCCTCATCACCACTGTGGTGGTAGTTTACATTTGTAAGACGAATGCGTGGACGTTTAATACACACGACAAACCCAGTGTTCTGGTAAGGTGTCAAAATGAAAAAATAAGCAAACATTGGTGGTGGTGTTGATTCAGGTGTTCATGAAATGCTTTGTCTCCAACACGTCACAGGAGGAAGACTTCAAGCAAACAGGCCGCAAACAGTATCACACTCTGCCCAAAGACGACTTCAGTGTAGTCTCCGTCGACGGGCCTCAGAGGCTGTTGGTCAGCACTGAGGACAGCAATCCCTCCAAGGACCTCCACAACAGCAGTGCCGCTTCTGATCAGTGCGGATCCCTCTACATGGAAAGACAGCTTTCAGAGAGCAGCAATCAGGAGCTGGAAGATGCAGAGTTGACATCTGGGGCAAGCGGGACAGACAGTGACTCTGCAGACGGCTCTGTGAAGACAGAGTCCGTTTCTATGGGTTCGGAGGATGATGATGAACAGCTGCTTGAGCAAGGCCCCTACGACCGTCGACACGCTGTGATGTTGGACATGGGTGATGGGGACATGGCCACAGGTTACAAGGGCTTGTAAACCAACTCAGATCAGATTGGTTCAGTGGGGATTTTAACTGAGGTGACCCAGGACTAGTTGGTATGATTGCACCTCAAGGCGAACCGTGGCCAATGCAGACCAAACCCCTACACTCAGGTGACACTGGAGAGGGATGCTGTATCCCACTGCTGTTTCTGACTGCCCTGTCAGATCAACACTAAAGGTGTACTCTCTGAGATGAAAGCCCTCTTTTTCTTGGTCCAAGGACATTTTTGTGGACCTCATATTGAAGGCGACCTGCAAACACCTTCAGAAAAAATGAACACAACAATATTCTACACACCTCTGAGCCTCTTTAGAAGGAAGAAACTGGATGAAGTCACAGCACTGCAACACAAAGTGGCTCAAATTGGATATTTTGCATTTTGGTGGACTGAACAATAAGGCAGCGTTTTGGAATATGACTTTCCAACAGTGTGAAATCTCCGTCCACGTTTTGAGAAGCTACAGTCATTATGAAAGCTGCTCTTTTCCTTTGTCTCAGGGAAACGAGCCGGTGATCTCCCAGTCACCCTCCAGCTGCTTTCTGTCTGGTAACAGAGGCTGCTCGATGGATGTAAAGCTGACACCACCCTCAGCCGCCCTCTGCTCCTGTGGCATTTTATCAGATGCAGCAGTGCAGACTGTTGTCAGAGAAGGGCTACAGTCGAGGAAACAAGCTCCAAAAGAAGAATACATCAAGACAGCCCACCCAAATGATGAACAAAAAACATTTCTCACTTGCATCAAGTGATATCCAATCATATAGATGGTATTGGTTCTATTCGCCCCGGTTTAATCTGTGTCTCAGTTTTAGGGTTTGTTTTTTCTCTAATATAGATTCATCCTAATGCAACACAATTTTAGTTGTCTGTTTACAGAACAGCAGCTGAGATGATTTATTCTGTGAACAACAGTCACAATAGAAGCTATTTATCTCTGGGCTGTAACCATGAAGACGACTACGATGGATGCGTACGACCTCCACAAATGAGACTCCGTTAAACTCCTTTGTGCTGCACTGGGATGTCAGTAAAAATCTCAAAATCTGGACCAATAAAACCAATCTATCTACATCCTTAATACCCCCAGAGGAGAAAAAAAGCTAAGTGGGCATTAAAGACTCTGACTGATGGTTGTGATGGTCTTTTACGGGTTTTGGATGAGTGTTGAGAAGCTCATTGTCGGGACTTTCCAACATCCGGGAGCAGGCTTACTGCCAGAATACCCTTCCACGCCTCAACAACAACAACGACTGTGAGACTCGTGACCTGCAGAACAGGTCTTCAGCAATGTGTGGGAGTGACTTCAGCCTGTGTGACGGACGAGCAGGTTTTCTGTTTACAAAACTTCAGGTTTGATCTTTTTTTTTTTAATGCTGGGGAAGTTTTTTATGTGCCATATAAAATGAGCTTTCTTTACATGGTTTTAAAAAACGTACTTAAATACTAATTTTACAAAAATTAATTGGTTTTAATGTGTAATTCATTTTTTAAAAACTGTACTTGCCACACACACTGACGAAGGATGTCCCCTTCTAATATAAAATGTGCGTTTGTTGAACAAACTTCGCTGTGACAGTTCTTCACTGGAGGAAAAGTCCAGTGTTCGCTTCTGCCTTCATGTTGTGTGTAATCTGTGTTTGCATGAGAACAAGGAATGCCAGAGATGTTCTGCTGATTCTTATCACCTGTGGGGGAAGTTCAGTCTGATGACATCAATGCAAAATCTGAACTTTTTTTTTGTTTTTAATAAAGACACATGAACAGTTCTGATGTTTTCTTTTATCATCCCCAACAGTGATGACTGAGGCTGGTAAAACTTAACATTTGAAGGAAACTTAAAGTCCAGATTATTCTCGTAGATGAATGGTAGCAACTGGACCTGCTTGAGTTCCTTGAAAGCGTTCCACCTTTCATCCAAGAGGCTTCATCAGTTCTGACTGACTAGTTGGGAGTCCCAGATATCCTTAAGGAGTCTTTAACACCTGAGTTTTAATTGGGGGTTTGTTGCTCCTCCCCCTCGTTGTGTGAGTCATTATGCTCCCCCTGCCACAATGGGATTCGTTAACGAGGGAGGAGCAACAAACCCCCCAATTAAAACCGAAACTCAGGTGTTAAAGGATCCTTTAGGACAGGGGTGTCGAATCCTGGTCCTCGAGGGCCGCAATCCTGCAAGTTTTAGATGTTTCCCTCTTCCAACACACCTGATTCAAATGATCAGGATCGTTATCAGGCTTCTGCAGAGCTTGATGATGAGCTGATCATTTGAATCAGGTGTGTTGGAAGAAGGAAACATCTAAAACATGCAGGACTGCGGCCCTCGAGGACCAGAGTTCGACGCCCCTGCTTTAGGACATCAGTATCTGGAACTCCCAACTAGTCAGTCAGAACTGATGAAGCCTCTTGGATGAGAGGTGGAACGTCTTCAAGGAACTCAAGCAAGTCCAGTTGCTACGATTAATCTACCAGAATAACCACGACCTGGAGGACTGAGAATCTTCACAAAGTCCAGATAACAAAATATTTTTTCTTATTCAAACCCACTTTTATCCATTCAGCAAAAGAAGTTCTTGAATGTTATGGGGAAAACTGGACATTTTAGGACATATACTTATGTTCCTCCTAATAGAGAGTTAGAGAAGAAGATTGTTGCCACAAGCAGGTTGGAAACCAGTGGAAAAGATTAGCTAGGCTTTAGTCCAAAGGTATTCAAATCAGCCTGCCAGCATCTCTAGGTGTGGCCACATGACACATCCAGTTCACCAACACTTGTCTGCTATCACAGACTATAAAAGACAAGTATGTGGTCAATGGTTGTCTGATAGCGACCTGACTGGTGATAAAACAGGGCTCAGGGCTGTCCCACTGTAAAACCAAGTGTATGAAGGCTTTCGTGTGGACTTTGATGCTATTGTGTGCACTTCCTGCGAGTCTTCATATCTGCAGACTTTTATCAGGGACTTGCCTCTACTTCATAGCAAAACTGTTTAAGTGTGGTTGTCCTGCGCTCCACAAGCCGAGCATGAATGGTGGAGGGAAGAAAACCGCTCGGAAGTTCATCTGTTGGCGACGGCGCTCGGCTGCTCGCTTTTCTAGTTATTGTAGTTTGTGACTGTCCTGACTGTTTGTACTTTGCTAAGCTCTGTACAGACTGTAATGTCACACTCATGGAGAGAAACTGAACAACTCATCAGAATTCACATTTTTTTGTGCTGATGCATCGTTTCCAGGCAACCAGCGGCTTCCAGATGTGTCCGATTCCTCCTCCTGATACAGTTTTGAGTCTAAACGTCTGCTTGACTAGAAGTGAACATCTATTCATTAACCAGCAAAGTCCTGTGGAGACTCCTTAAAGCTCACCGATTAACAGCTTACATCTCATACGTTGTTTTTGTAGTGATATAAAAAGAACTATACAATGTGTTAATTAGTGAGCTTTGGAGACGCTGGTTGGTTGGTTTGATATGTTAGGGCTCTTGGTAAGCTGCTGCTAACAAACTGGTGTGAATGAAATAAATCTGTGTTGTTTTGCTGAGCGTTATGTCCAAAGAAGTGTGTTTCCCAAAATGTCCTTTAGATGTGGTTCAACATGAGCAGCTGATAACAGCTTAAAAAGTCACAAATTAGATTTTTATTGAATATCTGATGTAAGAATGAGCAAACAAGGGATCAGGCATTCAACTTCCAGTACACACGTTTTTAGTACACAGTACTATGAGAACATTTGGATACGTAACTGTTCCTGGAAGCCAAACAGTTACAGCTTCATGTTCTGGTTTATTGGTGACAAAATTCAACACCCAGAGCCTCCCAGCCTCCTCCCAGCCTCCTCTCAGCCCTCCTGCTCGGAGTTGTTTCAGCTCCACTGAAGTGAAGAGCAGCGTGTCCACTGATGGCTCCACCAACAGGTAAAAAGTCAGTGCAGGCGGAGTTCCCACAGTCGGCCACTAAAGCTTCAGGCCTTGAACGTTTGTTCTCAGGTTCAACATTTGCTTCTCCTGTCGGACTTTTTCTTCCTTGAACGCCATCTTGTTGGCTTTCTTCTCAGCTCTCCTCTCCTGAACAAAACACAGACGTAGATTTAACACTTTGTACAGTGCAAATGTTTACATAATCATTAGCTGCCAAGCCTTCCTCTGTGGCTGCCAGTGTTCTGTCATGACCGACTAATCAGTGAACTGATGATGGCAAATATCTGAACAAAGATATCAAACCCAGAAAGTGCCGACAACATTTGCACTTGGATTAAACCGAAATCACTGATACCAAACATCGTATTCATATTTTATTTAGTTATAGGACAAGAAAAGGATCAGCAGTCCTACATTAGTTTTACTGTCAATTAATCTTATTGGCCACATATTCCAAAGAAGACCACAACCCACAATGTGTTGGTCTTCAACGCTACACTGATGACTGATTTGGATAA